GGCAGAGCTTCCTTGACGTTCAGGGGGAAGAGGGATCAAAGACTTTGCAGGCAGAACATCTCCAGCTAATAACAGGCTATGCATGGAGTGACATTGTTAAAAACACTTCCCTTTATATCCCTAAAGGAGTTTTATTGAGTTAAAATGATCCTCGAATAGCCTCTGGGCTGAACTGTAAAACACATTTGAAGAGCGTAAAATCTTTATTTATGCCAGGAATGTTTGAAACTCAAAAGATAAATGTCATTCAGGAAAACAAGCATGTCCTAGGTATTCAGAACCTAATGGGGCACAGCTGTAATAACAGTCAGTGAACCAGAGACTCCCTACATCATGTCATTAGCTCACTTTTAATAAGTCTATCTTCTTGTCCTTTTTATAAGGGCCATAGGGAAAGAAAGAAATATATCATCCCCCAAACATCTGTGCCTCACTCAAATTGTCTCTCTTAGAAGACAGATCTACTTAAGGGACTTGCCTTGGGATATAGGTTGTAAAGTGCACACAACCCTCTCTAAATATGGATTTTATTTAAACAGGGAGCATCACACATCATTTGTGAGCTGCTGAAGACAGTGCAGTGCAGGCTGAGCACATAAATAGCATCAAAGTACCTGCAAATAATCAAATACATACACTGAAACAAAGCTTGGGGCTGAACTTATTCCCTTGAAGCCAGAGATTTCATACAAATAAAGTTCTGGTTCTGCGAAGGTTTCAACAAGTCTTCCAAGGAGCCACAGAAGTCTCTACTTAAAACCGGACTGAAATATTGACTGGTTCTTTCTCCATTGTAAATGTTTATCCCTCCAAGCTGAAATTAACACATGGCTTGGAATTTTAAATGGCACAGGGAGGTCAAGATACTGCAAACCCTTCAACACTACTAATGATCCTAATTTCTCTATCTCCACCTTAATTTTGTTCAAAAGGTTATTTTAAAAATAATTTTCGTTCTGGCCTCTTGTAAAACTCTGCAGTGCCTTACTGGTTACTTTCTCACTAAACAAACTGATTTCCTATGTCTTTTCATGCCTAGGTTCAATGATTAAGCAAGATGATTAAACAAGTTAGGTGGCTTGTTCTGCCTCCTGGCTTTTAGAAGTATAAAAGATAAGAGACTCTAGATAATCAAACTACTGCTTGTCAAGGGAAGCTTGAGGTGATATAAAGTAGATCTGGGGTTTTGTTATTATTTATAATGTAGCCTTGCATAGGATGCTTCAGTTTGGATGCAGGGGTGGTTGCTCTCTAAGCTTCCTCTAGGAAAAGTCTCTGACAGGGAAAGGAATCAAAATTTTGCAGGTGCACAACTGATCTGTGGGGAGGCCAAACCTCAGGGTTAGGCACTTTTAGTCTTTCAATTGAGAAGCATAATCACTTCCTACAATTAGGAAAAAACTGACATTTCTAGCTGAAATTTAGCCCACAAAAAGCCTTCTATGTTTCCTCTGCAGGGATTCCTCTTTATTCTCCAGTTTATTTACTTTTGGCACCTATCTGCATCCTGCCTGAATTGTGTGGAAGAGCTGTGGTGAGCTGAGGACAGAAATGGAAGAAGTCTCTTGTTACAACACATCCCATTTCTTCCTCTGCTGGTGCCAGGAGATGTGACAGCACAAAACTCTTTGGAATTGGTTTAGTGCTGACATTGCCTTATTGTAGCTGAATTTAGTTGCTACCACCTTTTGCAGCTGCCCTGTTGAGACCCTGGGTTAAAAGGCCTTAAAGTCCTTAAGAATTAAGCTCCATTTAAAGCTGTTACAATGATCAAAAAAATCCCAATCTATTTTGTCATCAATGTAATAAAGAACTGAGATATAAGGGGGGAAGAAAGGAAAATATTTGGGGATTGGCATGAGTAGATTGGGAAAATACAGAAAATTTAATTATTTTCACAAAACTTTGATGTTAATAATAATTTTGCTAGAAGCATGAACACTGAATCAGCACTAAATAATGGAAGGCATAAGAGTTCAGGAAGATGCACATGCAAAGTTGGTGTTTTGAGACAGAACATTCAGATTGATGTGGAGCAGCTGCCAGGAAAATGCTGTTGCAAAAAGAAGGTCATAGACCTGACCTTCTTGTTCCCATCTACCCTCTACAGGGTTTTCATTTTGCTCCTTCTGCTTGCTCTGCCCCATGGCCACTCTGGTCTAACCTGGATTTGTGACCCTTCATGGCAATCCAGACCCACTTGGATATGGTACATGGAAATTAAGCTGTAGAATAAAGCTGGATAAAGCTGTAGAAAAGCTCTCTTGGGACAGCATTCTAGACCTTACAGAGCTAAAAATGTGCTTCTGATATATCCCTTTTGTGATCTGACCAGTGAGGGAATGCAATTATGTTTTTGTAATTATACTTTAAGAGACCGCTTATATACATACTTAAGGTCTAATTTTAACAACTTGCAGAGTTTCTAAGGGAATTCTAATACAGTAAACCAATTGGCATGATCAAGAGATAGCACAGTTAAGCCTGTACTAACCCACATCACCTAAATGTACTTACAGGAAAAATGGGCCATGCATAGAAGCAGAAAATAAACTGCTTAAGCAACCTGTGGGTTACAGTGAACAGAGCTGCTACTGCCAAAAATGCTTTTGACTTTGCCACATCCCAGGTACTGTGTGTTCCACTCCAAAATCAAAATCCACCTTGCAGAGCAAAGGCAGCAGCTCAGGGCCCTAGGGAAGCACGCTGTAAAGCAAGAGGGAAAGAACTTCCCTGATCCTGCACAGTTTTTTTTTTTTGTGGACTGTCCTCAGGTGATTTCTAACTGCTGCGCTGATGAACAAGCTGAAAGGCAACACCTTTGATCAGAGAAACAGAAGGAAAGAGGGGAACTCAACAAGGACGCTCCAAATCACTGATCCGAAAATCCAAAACAACGAACTATAACAGCAACAAATTGAATGGACATAAAACGCAGGTGCCAGGGCTGAACTGGGTGGATTCACCTCTGTCTGCCTACTGCACAGTTAGACAGCCCCCCAGAGCACTGGGAAATGTAGTACTGGGGTCAGGAAATAGCCTGTTCTCACATTTTTATGCCTCCCACTACCGCTGATCTGTGATTTAAGGAGCAAACATACACCCTCTACAGTGAAAAACATTGCAGTAACACAGCCCACCAGGAGGATGCCTACTTAGAACAATGTGAACTTGTCTGTGGCTTCAGGAAGACAGAACTGGAAGTATTTTGGGGACATGGTGTGGGATGGGAGGACGTGGGAGGAAGCTTACTGAACACATGCATGTTTTCTGTACAAAGCCTCCTGATGGAAGCTGCATGGAGCACAAGCACAGAAATTGCAGCATCTAGTTCTCTCTCTTCACTGGCACACATTGCTCCTAAAAATTTCACACCCAACCAAATGCCAAGGAAGAGTCTAGATTCTTCACAACTTTCAGATAAATGGAGCCATGTCAAATGAGAAGCAAATGGCAGAACAGAGCAGCGATGACAAAGGCTCTGATCCAACAGCCAGGGCACACTGCCGTGCTCAGGCAGGACCTCAAAGGCTTTAAAAAGTCTCCACAGAAGGAGAGCAGCCCTTTTGTACCCCATCAACTGTGACACCACGATCTAATTCAGTATTCAGCTCCACACCCCCATCATGTTGGCAATAATACACAGTTGGTGAGACAACTTGTAAAGGAGTAAAAAAAAGGAAAAAAAAAAGCCGTGTTTTCAATCTCTCTAATTTAATGTTAGCTTTTTATGCATCTAACATCAAAGCCTTTTTTCACTTCTATTTAATCAAAATTAATCACTAAGATTACTACAGCAATTTACGTTGGAGATTATTGAAATGAGTGTTTTATTAAAATCTGGTTTTATTAATAAAACACATTCTGGCTAAGGAATCATGTGAGCCTGCTATTAGAGACTATTAACTGGGAACTGGGAGTTAATCATAACAGTCATGCTGCCAGGCTCTTTGACAGAAACACACACTAGGTTTGTTTCTACTTTTACAGGAATATCCAAGACAATTAGTCACCCTGGCACAGAGCAAATCCTGCAAATCAGGGAGAGGAAACAAAGGTGCATGTGGCATTCACATTCTCTGAAAAATCTTTTCGCCCAGGATTTTCCCCTGGGAAGCTGAGAAGCCTCAGAGAAAAAGGAAAACAATTACTATCTCATTTGCTTCTCCTTCCACATGAGTATTTTGCTCATGTGGAATGTGGAGATTGTTTACCCACAGGTGAGTGTTTCACTGGATTGTGTGTGAGTTGTTTTCACTCATTGGCCAATCAGGGCCAAGCTGTGTTGGGACTCTGGAAAGAGTCATGAGTTTTCATTATTATCTTTTTAGCATTCTCTAAGTATCCTTTCTGTATTCTTTAGTATAGTTTAGTATAGTAGTCTTTAATATAATATAGTATAATAAAATAATAAATTAGCCTACTGAGTACATGGAGTTATCATGGTCATATTTTCTGGAAAAATCCCTTCACCAGGATTTCTTCTCTTGGGAAGCTGAGAAGCCTCAGAGAAAAAGGAAAACAATATATCTCATTTGCTTCTCCTGTGTTTTGCTGCTTTGGAGTGTGGTTTGGACATTGTTTATCCAATAGGTGGTTGTTCAGTTGGATCCATGTGAATTATTTTACATGACCAGTCACTGTCCAGCTGTGTCGGGACTCTGGGAGGAGTCACGAGTTTTTCATGAGTATCTAGTTAAACTTTCTGTAAGTATTCTTTCTCTATTCTTTAGTATAGTTTTAGTACAGCATAATATAATATAAACCATATCATGTCATATACTATCATATCATATCATACCATGTCATATCATATCATAATAAATTAGCCTTCTAAGAACATGGAGTCAGATTCATCTTTCCTCCTCACAACGGGGGACCCCAGAAATACCACATAGAGTCAGATTCGTCATTCCTTACTTCATCTGGGAACCCCACAAACACAACAGGTGCACAAACCCCAGCAGCTTCAAAGGAAAGGAAATCCGAGGGAGACTCACCAGCCTGGTTGGTGGTGATGCTGACAGCAGCGAACTGCCTGGACAGGGTGCTCAGGTCGGAGACGCCGTTGAGCGCGTCGATCTCGAAGGTGTAGTTGGTGTGTGCCAGCAGGTCCACCACGGTGACGGTGGTGTTGGTGAGGCCGCTCTGGCGCGGCAGGAAGCGCACGTTGTCGCTGCAGGGCTCGCACAGCCGCCCGCCCCCTGAGCACTTCTTGCAGACGATGTTGAAGGTGACGTCCTTCCTGCCCCCCGTGTCCAGGGGCCAGCTCCAGTCCAGGATCACCGAGGTCTCGTTGATGTTGGAGATGACGTTTCTCGGGGCAGAGGGTGGTCCTGGGAAAGGGAAAGCAGGGAGTGAGATTTTCTCCCTAAGGGTGCTCCAAAATGGGAATAACGAGGGCACAGAAATATAAAAGTAAAAAAAAAACATTATTAACCAAACTCTTCTGGTTATTTCCTGTGGAGACTCCTGCAATATTTCACTAGATTACAGACCTAGGCTAACAAGAACCATGTTTTCTTTAGAGAGTTCCCTCAGGGTGCAGTTCAGGATTGAGGGCTGAGTACAGGTAGCAATAAAAAAAATCCTACTTCTCCTTCTCGACTGTGACAGGGTACAAGAAGGAGAAAATGAAATCAGAACAGGCACAAACCCAGCCCACCAATTTCCAGCAGCCTGTCCAACACTCAAGAAGACACGAGAGGGAGTGGATGGCTGACTGCAGTGGGACATGAGAGGAAGCAAGCAGGCGAGCTGTTGTGGAGGGACAGATGGAGCAGCAAGAATGACAGCCCCGAGCAGAATGAGCTACTCACTGGTGCAAGCCATGGATGGAGGGTCTTTCTCAGAGCGAAAGTAATTCTTTTCACACCTGCAGTTCAGAGATGCATCTTCGTAGGTGGAGCTGTGAGGGGGGCATTTGGCACACTTCACATTGCCAGCAGAGGCTTTGTAGAACCCAGCTCGACAGGCTGCAAAGTAACAGGGATAGAGTTTTAAATTCCTTGGGCATCTTGATTCTAACATGTGACTACTGCCCTGGAACCTACCCATATGGGGATCACAGTTTGCAGACATTTATGGTCTAAAATTACAGATTTTTCTCATAATCAGAGCTGGCAGAAATAAAACATCTTGGTAGCATGGAGTTCATGCATCAGCCTGGATTTGCATTTAATTTTGCCTGGAAAACAAAACAGGGTATTGCACCACTAAGAAGAAACATTTTCTACACTTCCTTTTGAGAACTTCGCTCCTTTTCCTTCTCTTCTGCTTCATTTACCAAAACTTTGGCCCTGCATAAGAAGCTAATTTATCCTCCCTCTGCTGCGAACATTTTCTTACAAGGGCACACTGATTGGAAACTACATCTCTTCAGTTCATCAAGTCAGGAGCAAGCAAGCCAAAACCAAGAAAACAACCTGAACAGAGAAAGATCTTTTCCATTTTTAAATGATCATGTCAATGAGCTGCGTGTATTACCTGTGTAAAAAAGATTTTTTTTTTTTGGATTAGCAAAGTCTTTAGATGGGCAGCCTGAAGTAGGAAAAAGCTCTGAACAGATATCCCAGTAGCTTTTCAAGTGATGGAGGAGGTAGGGACTGTTATTGTCTATCACCAAAACCTAAATAAACACCTAGGCAAGGCAGATTTGTTGGTTAGCTACTGATGCCAAACACCTGAGTGAAATGCTCTGGTGAATCGTGAGAGAACAACTACTCTGCTCTTCTCTGAAACATCCTAAAAAGGGACAGCCTCCTCCAACAAGGGACAGCAGGAGGAGCACGAAGGGTTTCACAGGGAAGTGCCAATCTCAGCCTCCCTCCAGCTCTTCCCAGCCCTGGCAAATGGCAGTGCTTGGCTGCAGCTGCTCCCTCCAACTTCCAGACTGCAGCAAAGCAGCTGCCAAAGACAGCTCCTGCTCCAAGTTCTCTCCTGCAAGCCCTGAGGAAACATCCCTGAGTCTGAGCCTCTGAGTCACAGCCCCAGCAGACAATCTGCTACAGCAGAACGGTAAGAATTGCTAAAGAAAAGCAGAACTGCTACAAATGACCTTGTGTGAGCAGCACAAACCTGCCCAACCTGGCACAGCCCATCCAGCTGGCACTTCTGGTGTTCCCCTCTCCTCAAAGGCTGCCCAAGGGGCTTGGGGATTCCCATTTAACTGGAGGAAATAAAGGAAACCTAAGTCCTTCTTACACCCCTCCACTAGAAGGAAATGCAGCAGAAAACAACAGAGTTTGGGGGGTTTTTTTGTGTAGCTGTTATTTTTGCAGCCTTTCACAACTCAAATGCCATCCCCTCCCATGTGATGCCCCATGAGGAACCTGGATCAAGCCCCTCTGGCTGACAGAGGAACCTCCAGTGACTTTGCTGCTTCTGTTCCCAGCCCTGAGACAGCAAGACAGGCAGAAAAGAGGCCAATCCCCTTCTTACCAGCAATAATAACTAAGCAAACACAATAAGGAATAAACACCACACTTCAGTTCCTTCATTAATATAGATAACTTCCACTAAAACTTCTCATGGAAACTTCCACCAGGTATTAAACTCCAATGGTTTTGCTTAACCAGCTTGAAGGGACAGTTTTACATTTATGAGACAATGATGTATTTATGATTCCATACAGCAGAATTTTTAAATAAATATATATGCTAGTTTAATGCAAGGACGAAAAAAGAAAGGCCCTACCACCAGTATTGTAATAAAAGCAATGAATTTAACAGAAGTAAACAAGCTTGCATTAGAAGAAGACATATTCAGAGGGATAAAGAAGAGAAACTGCCCATAAATCAATGTCTCTCATCCCTCAGGTGAAAACTCATGGACCTCATTTAAGAAAAGGTGGTGATGGTCAGTGGGGGAGTGAGCCAGTCAGATTCCTGCTGTCCCAATGTGCCCTAGCAAGGGCATCCCAATCTCATGTCTTCCCCTCAGGCTGTCTTGCACTTTCTGTCTTTGTCTGTCAGACCAATTTCAGATTACTCACAACTGCAGCCCAAAGGAGAAAAAAAAAAAAATGCATTTACACTTGAAACTGAAGCTCAGAACTGGAGGCGCCAATGAAAAATATTGTCGATGTACTTCCTATAATTACTAATAATTTTTTAAAATTCTGATATATAAGAGAGAAAAAATGAAGCTGTTACTTCCAAAGGCATTAATTTCTCTGTCAGACAAATTGGATTACAAGTACTGATAAAAGAAGCTTTGGCTTTTTGAGGCAAATACCATGGCTTTGGTTTCAATTAGGTTGATAAAAATCATAGGAATTAGCATAGGAAGTCTTCACAGAATCTCTAATTTTAGCATGGAAACCAGCTGTGAACAGCAGTTGCTTTTACTCAACAATTTCTTGCAAAAACTAAGCACTTTTTCTTTCCCTCACAATGGGGAACAATGCAGGAGGAAGTAGATGCAATGGGCCAGGAAGAAAAAAACTGTTAGCACACTAAAAGTGAGTCAAGGAAACTTTGGGAGCTTCTATGATATAAACTTCTGTGATATAAACAGTACAGCAAGGCTGGCTGGTTTTGCTTTTTTAGGAAGATCTCCTCAAGCCTGCTGGCTCTGGTGACTCCTGTGGTAACTTCCATCTGCAGCATTCTAAAACTGCATTTATTCTGATTTCAGTCTCTTTCGTTTGGGTGTGATGTCAGGATGACTTTATTGAGTCACATGTTAGTCAGAATTTCAGGACTCTGGTTGTCCTTGTTACTGTGTGAAAATGAACTTCCTTGAGCTCTAACTGATGAGTTTGTCTCAGAAACAGAGAGCAGGGAAAGTTAATTCAGTGAGAGGAAAACAAATGCATGCAACAATCTGTGCTTGGTACTGATTAAAGGAATGTGGTTGCCTTTTCTGCAGCAAAGTGAATTTTGCCTCAGCCTGACTAATCTGCTTGGGATGAAAACACGCTCCTAATTAAGGGTTAAATTATTAATTTAAACTGCAATTAATTTTATATTAAAACATAAATCTGTTAGCAAATAGGAGCATTTTAGCATTCAGGTCCTGCAGCCCCCTGCACACAGAGCAATCTCAACAATTCCCAGCTGTAAACACCAAGGAACAAGTGGAGCCTGCACTGGGGATGTCCCAGCCCCAGCACTCCAGGCTTGACAGGGCCCATCTCCTGCACAAGGTCAGGGAAACTTCATTTAGAAACTGCCTGGCACTGCCCAGCCCTGCAGGAGCTCGGCTTTTTGTGCTTTTTAGGCAGGGCTGGAGCATCACAACAGGCTGGAAGTGGATTACACATCCATGGCATGGCTGACCAGCACCCACCCATTGATTGTTTCCTGTCTTTATTCCTCTGCTCCTCATTAAAACAGCCCAGGGGTGAAATGTCACTGAGGCATTAAGGTACAGCATTTACCAGGAAGGGAATTCAGTCACAAACCTGTGCAGCTCACAGATAACACATCCTCAGAGTGTGCACTAACAAGACAAATCAAAGCAACTCGGGACAAACCTCCTGTGCCAGGACAGGGAAGCATTCCCCATGGAAGTGGCCACTCTTAGAGGGGCTTTGCAAACCATTCCCACTGTCACCTGAGCAGGTGAGTTAATTGAACTAATCAATATTTTAATTCTCATATCAGAACGCATTCTTCACTTCCAGGATTTTGAGAAAATCCTCCAGTCCCTGCAGGGACATAGATTTGCTTGTGTTTGAACAGGTACAAAGCCCTGAAGCTGGGCCTGGTCATCACAGGATGACCCTTGGCTGGCCAGGTGTATTGAGAAGGAAATCACAGAATAGGTGGGAAAAGATCTCTGAGACCATCAAGTCCAGCTTATAACCTCCCACCACCCCCACCACCATGCCAATGAAACCACAGCAATGGGATGTGTCCAGTCTTTCCTTAAAATGCTACTGACTCCCAATGCCCACACACAGCCTTGCATCTTTGAACTTTTCTCCAGTTCCTTTTGAAAGTGTTTACACATATTTTCCTTTTTTTTTCCCACTATGGCACCCCATTCATCAGCAAACTTTATAAAGTAGATTTCCTTCAAAACCCCTCAGAGCAATGAAACCACCTTCAGCAGCTCTGGTTGTTCATCACTATTTCAAAAGCCATAAATTCTATAGCATTCTATATGTGTGTAGCATCCCCTCTCTCTCTATCCTGAGCCTCCATGAACTTCTTGAACACCAACTCAGCCCAAAAAGGCTTCTAAAAATTAGACTGTACTTTTGATTCATACTTCCACTGAACCGCAGGCACACTTTTTGTCATCAGACCTGAATAAAAAGACACCACTTAAGTGAGCAGCTCTAAAACCAAGGGCTATTGCTGTACATGCAGAGCAGGCTTTCTCTGTGATGGGCTGTGCTGCTGGCACCTGAGCAAAGAGAAAAAAAGAGTGAGAAAGGCTTGAATGAGGGATAACAGCTCTTCTTGGGATTCGACCCCATTACCACTACTGTAAGAATATCCCCAGAAAGAGGAAAGGATATTGACAGTCCCCTCGCCTTAGGATTCCATTCTGTCCGTTAAAGAAATTAAAACTTAAAAATTATCCTAGTATGTGTATTCTTGCATCATCCATGAGATATGCATGGAGCAAGTATTCAGTGCAATGTCACACTGAAATGTCTCTAGGAAAACACTCCTCAGAATGAGCACTTCTCATTTTTTATACCTGAAAGCTGCTGCTAACACACAAAAAAAATCAGTAGTATTTAATCTTCCTCATGAGTAAATTTCTGCCTTTTTCCTCCTCGCTTCATATTTTATAGTGATCTGTGACCTTAACATATTTTAATCAGATGCTTCTTAAATTGGCTTTACTCCCAGGTCAAGCCATTGAGCAGAAACAATTCCTGTTCCTTTGTTTAATAACTGTTACTGGCAGACATATTAATTATATGTACATAAGAGATAGTCCTGTCCTGAGGGAACAACACTGCACCTTTCAAGCACAAAAAACCCAAAGTCTGTAATAGCTGCACGTTGTGCCT